ATAATCTTACACATTCTGAAAACAAGATTATTATTCTTACAAAATCAGTTCTTGTTGAGTAAATCAGTCTCAAAACAAGATCAAAAATACTTTTTGGCTGGATATAAGATTTTAAAACTTGGTAAGATGGACAGTTTTGCAGTGTAGAAGCTGACACAAAGTAAAACAAAACAAAAGTCAACTAGATTTTATTCAAAAATGTCTGAAAACTGACCAACAGATGTATAACTGCAGGTCATCAGTGTACAAGTGAAAGGAGACATCATGAAAATTGTCAATGATCTGGCTTAGCAGGCGGATATAGAGGAGGAACAGGAGGGGCCCCAGGATTGAACCCTGTGGAACGCCACAACTGAGTTGGGCTGGTTGAGAATAAGTTTGATTTTGAAGTACTGAGAAAGAGCAGTCGGAGAGGTATGAATTAAACCAGTTTAATACAGAACCGGATATCCCAGTGTTTCTCAGGTTGCGTAGTAGAATGGTGTGATCAACAGTGTTAAAGGCAGAGGGAAGGTCTAAGAGGAGCAGAACGGTGTAGAAACCATTATCAGCAGACATTAGTATGTCATTTGATACACGTAGTAGAGCGGTTTCAGTAGAGGTCTTGTGACAAAGCAGAGCAAACAAACACTTAGCAAAACTGCTAAGCTGATCCGTTTTCCATGTGTATCAGGTTTCTCTTCTACAAAGACAAACATAAACTAATTCCTGACTACTCTCCCTGCAGATGCACAGGTCCAAGCCTTCCTGCTGGACTCTCACGGTGTCATGAACAGCAGCAGTCAGTGTCCGTGGCTGCAGCAGTCCTCCACCTTGTTCATCCAGAGCGGCACCCAGCTCCTGAGCAGGTTCCTGCAGCACACAGCAGCCTGGGCCGACACCAGCGTGGTGCGGGCCAGCTTCAGCCATCCCACTCACAACCAAGCTGGACAGAAACACGGTAACAGACTCACAAATTTAACACAGAGCCATTTGTTGTAGAAATGATGATCTGCAGTCAGCTGGTGAAACAAGCCTGTGTGTTTTGGCTTCAGTCTAACCTGGAGCCTCTACAGAAGAGTTTCAACATGTTTCTCTGGTTCAGGAGAGAGGGGCAAAGAGAAGTCACTGTTGAAGAATAACTCTAATTAAAGCTTGACTCTAGTTTTCTTCATTTCTTTTTGTCCCTCTCCTGCTTCACTCAGACTGATGAAGAACCAGGTGTGGCTCAGTATCTACACCTCACCTGCAGAAGTTTGTAGCTGCAACAATACTGCTGCAGAAACTAACAACAGAGCCATGATTAAAGGAAGAAAACGTAAATATACACTCACCGGCCACTTTATTAGGTACACCTGTCCAACTGCTCGTTAACACTTAATTTCTAATCAACCAATCAC